TCAAGGAAACTGAACTCCGTTGGGCAGCTTGCAGACGGTCCATCAGAATTTGTGGATCGAAGAGATTTGTTTTCTTTGGAAACGGTGTGCCCGTATTGGTGGTCTTCATGAATCCATAATCACGATTTACCAGCGGAATACGTTATATAGCTATATAGCTATCACACCTCCCTGCTACTGCCTCATAGCTATAAATCAAGTAAATAAACCAGTTTATGCTACCCACCAATATAAGCCACAATTTTAATGAAATTGACTTTTTGAGAATACAAAAATATTCTATAGCACAATAAGATCTACTGTAGTAAATTTCATCAAGATCGGTTAAGAAAAAGTTACTTAAGAATACGTGTTTTGGCTTTCCTCGTATCAGCGGCAGCAAGCGCAATTTCCAACAATTTCTATATACATGTACACACACACATTCATGCGCGTCTGCTGAACGATATATATCATCCCAATGTCGGGAGCTCGCGCCTAGAACCTCTTACTTGTATATCTTGTCTTACGTCACAAATTCAAAAAGAAACTGAAAAGTAATTTGTATATATAAGATTCATTTATTTATTTGAAACATTCTGAGAACGACAAATTTATATGATTTTATATAATTTGTATTTAATATTAATATAAATTTATTGTTGGTTTTGGCGACATTTCCATATATTGAGTATTTACTTGGCTGGCTCTATTAATTTAAATTTAATTATTTAAAGTTAAATTTTAAATTTGTGTACATTCAAATCTTGCTTTCTACTGCCTAAATGCCGCCAATTTCAATAAGTACTTAAAATTGATATCATTGTTAAAGTATTCTTCCGTGGTATAATATTTAATTTTTATATTTTGATGTTGATAAGTTGTTTTGCATTTGAAACATTTTGAAATTATTTGCGTATTTATTTAGCTGCTGAAAATATTGATGGATGCAGAATACTTGAAAAGAGTGAGAACTGAAAGTTTTTTAACGGGCGCAAATTTAATTTAAATTTGCTTTTGGCCTTGTGCTTTTGTCACCAATCAAGTTTATACAAGAGAAAGAGATAGAGAGAGAGAAATGTGACAAGGATAGAAAGAGTAGAAGTAACTGTGGGCGAGTGGTAAATGGATTTTCTTTTATTGCTGCCTTGTTTCCTGGGCATTCTGTATATGTGTTGTTGCTTCATTTCAGCCCAACACTCACCCACTCGCCTCGGGGACTAAGAACTTTGAACTTGCCGCAACTTTCTGGTCGAGGGTTGACTCCCCCTTTTCCTTTTTACCCCGCCGCCCGGCTGCTGTTGCCGCATGTGACATCATTTGATTGCTCATGAAATCGATCGATTGTCGAAACGTGTTGATTGTGTTGCTGTTGTTGTTATTGTTCTTGCTGTTTTTGATGCTGTTGTGCCCCCGCAGAGGAAAAAGGTCAAAAGTTTCAACTCGTAAAATTTGGCATACAAAATGAAGTCCCGGCTTTATGATGAAATTATTTAAATGCGCCCCAAAACAGCTGCAACAGCCGCTGCCGCAAGGCATTAAAAATGCATGCAACGTTCCCTGGGGTCGCTGTTACACCTTCTGCTCTCTCTCACTTTAACCCCACTCCCCCTGGCGCACTCCACTCATTTGCCAACTGTCTGGCCCAGTTTTGTGCGCATGATTAATCACAATCATAACCGATGATATGATTGGAGCCACTTTCACGCGGTGATTCTGTGATTTGTGCAACTGTTGGCATTAAAATCATACTGATAGCCCCGCTAGCCCCTTCTCCCGCCAATGATGGATGCCCCATTTGGCATAGCTGTCCCATGTGCTGTGTACTCAATACTCGATACTCAACACTCGCTCCCATTCACTCACTAATTAAAGTGACACCCAAGTGTCAACGACATCTCAGCATTTGCGAGTACTCTGCCGCAGCTCCAGGGCATGGAGCTGTCGTCACATGTTGCTGCTTAGAGCTGCTGTTCGGCAACTGAGCAGTGGACAAGTTGAGTGATTGATTGCTTGTTGATTGTTGCCAAAGGGATTCCTGTGTCCTGCAGCCAATAGATTTAGATTTCTATATATAGGCTTGGCCTGGAGTGTATGTGTGTGTGTCAAACACTTCAACTCCTATTTTGGGCAACTTTAATTAATCACAAAATTGTTAATTAAATTAAATATTTTCTTATAAATCTAATTATTTTAGGAATTATTAAAAATTATAGACATACGTATTTAGTCGATTAATCGATTTATTTCTTAGATTCTGTTTATAATGTGAAAATTCGTATTATTTTTTATTACCTATTTGTTCTGAATTATTTACATTTTTTGCGGCGCTATTTAACTATTGTTTAAATCTAGATTGATTTATGTATATTCGCGTCAGCGAAAAGATTTTTGACCACTCCATCCGGGGATATTTTATATATGTCAACCCTTCTCTTCAAATGAATGGCACTTTTAAAACTTTACTTAATCTTTAAAATTATATTCGCCAATATTATTTTAATTACTTTAAATAAGAGCGTGTCTTATCATGAGACATAAGACTCATGTCCCCCTTAACGCACCCCTTGTGGACCTTTGGCATCTATTGGTGGATAATATATTGCAATTTGTAAAAGATTGATCCAGAGGCAAAATTAAAAATTATCTGTGGGTAACTTTTCTTCAATTTGTAAACAATTAATGCATATATTTTAGTGAGCATCAAAATGCGATAAGTATTTTTAAGTCCAACATTCAATCAAAATAATATTTGTGTTTAAATAGGGCGCCAACTGTTAAGGTTCGGCTTTGAAGTTAAATTCCTCACTTTAAATATATTTTGCCTACACTTTCTTATGTCTTTTTATACCCTTGCAGAGGGTATTTTAATTTTGTCGTGAAATGTGTAACGCATAGAAGGAGACATCTCCGACCCCATAAAGTATATATATTCTTGATCAGTATCAACAGCCGAGTTGATATAGCCATGTCCGTCTGTCTGTTTCTATGCGAACTAGTCTCTCAGTTTTAAAGCTATCTTTATGAAACTTTGCAGAATTCCCTCTTTCTGTTGTACGCAGCTCATATGTCAAAACCAGCTGGATCGGACCACTATATCATATAGCTGCCATAGGAACGATCGGTCGAAAAGTAGGTTCTTGTATGAAAAACATTTTTGTTTATAAAGTTATCTTGACTAAACTTGGTATTTATTAGTTTTACTAAGCTCCCCATATATATGCAAAATTCTATTAAGATCGGGCAACTATATCATATAGCTGCCATAGGAACGATCGGTCGAAAATTATGCTGTTGTATGGAATTTTTTTTGTTTTTCAAGATATCTTGACCAAACTCGGCATTTATTAGTTTTACTATGCTCCCTCCACTTATGCAAAATCTTATTCACATCGGGCTACTATATCATATAGCTGCCATAGGAACGATCGGTCGAAAATTAAGTTGTTGTATGGAAACCTGTTTTGTTTTTCAAGATATCTTAACCATACTCGGCATTAACTATTTTCCCTGTGCTCCTAGATACGGGCAAAGCACTATGAGCATTTCGAAAAGGTTGTGTCTGCAAGGGTATTAAATCTTCGGTGTGCCGAAGATAGCACTTCTTTCTCGTCAATATTCAATTCTAACTATATATTTTAAATATATTTTCCCTACACTTATGTCTATTGAAAAGCCATTTTTAAATTTATTATCCTGAATTGCAATTAGCATGCCAATCAGATTCAAATCAGAATCTAAACAAATTTACTCTGGCGACTACTCTGGAAACTAACATTTTGGCATCATTAGCCAAAACACTTTGCCTTCAAGTGTGATAAATGCACAAAAACTGTTGCCAAATTGCGCCAACATTTTTGTGGTGCCGCACACCAATTTCCCTTTGTGTGTTTGCTATTGCTTTGGCGCTATTAGGCCGGCTGCTCCGTTCACCGCTCCACTCATCGAGTTCCATCATTTTTGCCTAGTCGCTTTGTAAACAGGCCGCAAATTAATTGATTATACATCATTTATAAGGCACGCGCGCGCCTAAAATTCTCGCCTGCGCCCGACACGAAAAACATTTTTTGTAAACAAAACAAAAAAGTTGCGCATACGCCATGTGCCACAAAATAGAATGAGAAAATAATGTATATGAAAACCCATCGCAATTGCTATGCAAAGTACACGTAAATATAATTTACTTTATTTTGTGCGCTTTCGCAATTTTGTGTGTCGTTTCATTGGTTTCCCCTGCCCCAACAGTGCCCGTCCCCTCTCTTTCTCCAACTCTGTTAGTGTCGCCGCGTATGAGCGTGCAAAAATGTCAGACGACACAAACAAATTTTTCACACATTTTTATGGCCGCCTTTGCGAGCGTTTTGCCAATGCTTTTGAGTATTTCAAATCTAATTTATGACATTGAATCAATTTCAAGAGCGAGTTTCTGTTTGTGCCCGTGTGTGTGTGAGTAGATGCTTTTGTTGTTGTTATATTTTTTCATTGCGGTCAATAACGATTTTTCATATTTTGTGCGGGTTTTCTTTTTATATTTCTTTTTTATTTTTTTTTTGCTTTTGCTTTTGACCTGGTTGGTGACTCGCTTTTGATGTCTGCTGTCGTTCGCAAGAAATCGCATCCAAGTCGCAGCCGGCAAATACCAAAAGCGAGCTTCCGCTTTTCATCCCAGTTTATTTATTTTTTTGTATATATTTTTTTTTGCTGTAGTTTGGCTTGGCTCAGCGGCGAGTTCTGCTCGTTGGCCGTCCGCTCAAATGCCAAATTGAAAATTGATGAATGTCCTTGATTGAATTTGATAGGTGCCAAGCACTCAGTACGGCTATTAATCTCCGTGTAACTTATGATCTGCCAAATGCCCATCGTCGTGTGTTTTTTTGGGCTGCCTGTGTTTTGGCCTGTTTAGCTGATACTTTAATGTGGCTAGAGTATTATGACTATACGATTGAGTATGTGTTATGTGATGTGTATAATTTTCTTACTTTTTGAGTTTTCTGATTCTAATATATATCGTTTACTTATAGATGACCCACTGGACAATGAATGATTGAAGTTCCTCAAATTAAAAGTATGGGAGAATGAAATTCATGGTAAGTTTTTATTTATATTTTGGCTCTCTTTAATTGTACTTATAAGGAATATTATCAAGTTCATTACTTTGATAATTTTAATTAAAAAAAGAACTTAGCATTCAATTTTTTTTGATTTGGAAGTAGAAATTTCCGAAAATGTTCACTTGAGTGAAAGTTCGTACCGCTTACAGATCAGTTAATCAGTCAATATTATGAGTCTTACTCAAATATATAGACTATACTTTCGTTGTATTTACTTTGGTCAATTTGGTGCATTGATTCATTGCTAAATCGTACACTCCACGTCGCCAAATTTGATGTGCTTTAAATATTTTGTGTGCTTCGCTGTCTCGTGAGTTATCGGCAATTAAACATGTTGGGCACGTCAGGTTTCAATGACATCGATGGCGCGGGCGGCAGTCACGTGCCGCAGATATTGAAAATTGAATCGTTGCCATTAATGCGCACAAATCTTGACTTTCAGCTAACGTCAATGCGATAATGGAAGCGGCAGCAGCTTCACCTGATATGGCGGGAGACGAAGACATTGAAGCGACAGATGGCGGTATCTGCTTTGAATATTTCAACATTTCCGCTTATTATTTTACGTGTCGGATTTACGTGTCACGCAGCCTCGTGCACTGGGGAATATTACGGGCAGAATGCCGGCAAGAGGTGTGTGCTGTTAACTGGGTAAGATATTAGGGGGTTTTGGTCGAAAGTGGAACGTTTAAGCCCATCAGTCACTGCTCATGTTTATGCAAATAAAAATATGTGCATTCAAATGCAATAAACTTTGTAAACCAAATTATTTGCATATTACGGCTTTTGTAAATAACCGTTTCTTGGCCAATTTATAATCAATTTTTACTACGCATTTAAACAAAGTATAATTTTTGAATAGCTATATAGCTGTACCTGTTGTTTAGTGCCAGCTTTTGGCACAATTTACATAAAATTTCCATAAATTGATTTTATTGAATTTCTTTTATTGAAGAAAAAATGCACATAAATAAATGTGTATAAATGTCTGCATTGTTTTACAATTTTTTTAATTGAAAATTAAATTATATGCTCAAATTATCCAGTAAATTTTATAAACTGTAATTAAGTCATAACAATATATTGTTTGTACATAAATAAGGCTAATACTGCTTGCAAAATAAGCTAGTATAGTTCCATTTGTAGTACTTGTATTGTGTTTTTAAAGCTCTTTAGCTCAGATCCTTCTTTTTTATTGCTGCCAGGATTAAAGTAGCACTTTTTTTTTTTAGACTTTTTCATACTTATTTCTGTATTTTCTTTCTATTTAAATCTGACCAGAGTCAGACCATCAAGCAAAGCGGTATTTAATTTTCATTATCTTGTTGTGTAGAAACTTTTTTGATTCCCAAATATAATTCTAAGAAATTGTTTGCATTTCTAATGCTAATTTTTCTTGTTATGTAATTATGAATTTCTATTCTGCACTGCTGTAAAATTTTCTGCAAGTCCTTTGGTTTGGCCAATTTAGCCTATTCCCCTTATGCTAACTCTTTATTTTACTTTATCTACGAGAAATATAAATATTTACATAAGCAAAACAAACAAACCAAATTTCTAAGCAACAAAATTACTCTATTCATTGCCGTCTCTTTCGCTCTTTCGCTCTCTCTCTCTCTCTCTCTCTCTCTCTCTCTCTCTCTCTCTCTCTCTCTCTCTTTCACTTACACCAATTGCTATATCGTTTGGCATGAGAGAGTTGCCCAACGTTTTTATGACTGCAGTAACTTTGCGCCATAAAATAGGATTTCCTACTGAGCCTATTCACAACTTTTCGCATTAGACTTAAGCGCAAAGCTCGCCGCCAGCTTCCGTAGTGAACCCCTTCAGCCCGCTTGTTTCTATATTCCCCTTACGCCAACCAAAGGGGTCAGTCGTGGCAATTGCAAAGACAGCAGCGCCAAGCGTTTTGCCTTCTGGCCCGGCTAAAACACACACAAACACACACACACATGGCAATAAAAAACCTATACACATGTGAAATGCTGGCGGGATTTATGGATGCCGCGAATTCACATTCACAGCGCAACTCCCTCAACCTTCACACAGCCCCGGGACAGGCGCTGCCGCACACTTTGCGACTGCTTCTAGCCAAAGTTCGGTTGTCTTCTGTTTTTTTTGCTCCTTTTATTTATTTTTGTTTTATTTTTAATAACCAGTCAGATACCAAAACGAACCGTCAGCCGCTTGTGGTCGTCAGCTCTGCGGTTAGCGGATTTTTGAAATAATAAAAGAAAACAAAAAAAAATTTAGAAAAATGATATAATAAAAGTTCAGTGAAAAGGAATTATGGCACTGGGCAACAAAATGACTTGAGGCTCAATTACTTAGACTCTGCCTGTTAATTATTATTAAACTTTTTTTTATAGAATTTTAATTATTTAACTCTCAAGTAAAACTATTTTTCTTCAAATTCTTAGTATTTTGCTGATTTATCTATTTCTATTTATTTCACTTAATGTATCTCAATACAAAAATTTCGGTTTTAAATTACAGCCAACAACATTTTTTGTTTTTTTATTGTATGAGCTTTCAATTTTAAAAATTTCCATTAATTTAGAATCTTCAACGTTTTCAATAACCTGGTTGGACAGTGTTTATTTTTTTAGTGTCGCTGCGTGTGACGTTGACTTTTATGAGCGTTAACAAAAGCATTTTAATTAAATAAATTCGTGCAAAAACAATTTGGTGCATTTGAAAATGTGTTTTATGTGTGCGAAGCGAATAAAAAAAGGAAACGCATGAAACGTGTTTTGGTCAGCAAAATTGCAAGAAAAACTGAAGGGCAAAAACAAAGGCTTTAATCCAGCAGCCCGTTTAAGCATTTGCCCAGCCCAACGGGCCAACAGGCAAATAAATCAACATCGATAATATCGTGCGTCCCTTTATAATAAAAATGCTTTATATGCTTAGATGCCAGGACTCTTTCCGGGCGGCCTTGCTCGGCCTGGGCTGCCGATACGAGTCGAGTTGAGTCGAGTCGAACAAATCCCAATAAATTGAAAAACAAAATCATTCAATTCAATGGCAGCAAATCAGGCGTAGGCGAGAGAGCCCCATAAAAAGGGTTGAGTTCTTGTGGGAGGGCGGTGTTTAAGGGAATTCCGTTCATGGTACAAATAAGACATCAAGTGTTAGAAAGCAGTGGGAGACCGAATGTAGCTATGCGTCTCGCAGGGAATTTCCGAAAAATAAAGACATATTTTACAAGGATTTTTTTTTTTTTTTAATATTAATAAATATATATGTTAGGCGTGTGTTGGACGTCATGTCGAAAGCATAAAATTTGCTCTTATATATTTATTTTCAATTTATTTGCCTATATTGTTGCATGCACGAGAATAATTTGAAAGCTTAAAACTATGTCTTTTAGTTTTTGGTGCTCGAATTCAAGTCCAGTTTATTTGCCTACACTATGCTAACAACTCTTAAATATATTTCAGTAATAAGTCTTCAGTTGCAAGTAGAAATATATATCCTTAAATTTCTATCAGATCTATTTCGGAATTTGCCAAAATGTAGACTTAAGCTCCTCTATTACTTAAAGTCTATTTGTTCTGTCTTTTAGAACTATGTATACATTACCTTTTCGCTAAACCAGCTTCCCCACAACATTTGCCATTAATAACACTTAAAACCACAAATTTTGAGCATTACCTGGCCCTAATTGTGGTCATATTTGACCTTAACCTGCCGGCTTGCATTTACCTTTGGGCCATGAGGGTCGCGTTGGTGCAAAGGTCATCAAAGTCGTCGTCAAAGTTTTCGTCAGTCACGAGCAAACTTTGCCATAAAGTTAAGTAGCGAACAAATTCTTGGCTGCTGCCGCTGTCCAAAATGAACAAAGAAACTAATTGACTTGGATTAACGCTTCGGCATTTTCTCATAAATCTTTCAATTGAGGGGCAAAATGCGGGGCACACAATTTTCTTTCAAGGTTGTCCACGCTGAAAGTTTTGCTTCGCAAAAATTGTGAAATTGCGAAATTGCGCATACGCCATGTGTGTTTGTTGTATGTGTGTGCTTGTGTTTGTGTCAGGGCTTCTGCTTTAAGTTGCCTAACAAAATCAATAGGCAAACAAGCGAACCGAACACGCCCCCTCTCGAACGGCCCCCATTCCTCTTCCAAGCCATCTCAGTGCACGTATCCGTTTTCGTATACGATTTTCCTGCAAACGCTGGCAAAAATTTATTGTGTGTGAAAATGTGTTGACTTCAACTCAAAAGTTCTCAGCCCTCTCTCTCTCTCTTTCTCTGTCTCGTTCGCTGCTTGTCTCTCTTCGTGTCTCACGGCTGCCAAGCTGGATTTATATCTGTGTCTTTCGCTCATTGTTTGGTCAAGTTATCGTGCGTGGCGCTTTATGGGCTCCTCGCCCGCTTCTGCTTAATATTGCAAAGTGATTTTCGCATTTTCACAGAACTCACACTGACTCCGGGACTCGAGTCGTGCAGTCCACAGATTTATGGCCGCCTTTGATGTATGTTTATCCCCTTTCGCTGACTCTGCATTTTCAACCAAAACAAAAAAAAAATGGAAACCAGACCAAATGCAATCTCTTCTATCAGCTCAGCCTAAATCCTTATACTTTTCTCAGTTGCGAGCATAAACAAATGATTGCTTGGGTAATATGACTAGGGAGCTTAATCTTAAAGAAAACATTTTTCTGCTATTAAAAATCACTTTGAGCGTTCGGCCGTAACTCAAGAAGAAGAAAAACAACAACATGTCAGAAAAAAATATGATAAATTGTAGTTTAATCTGCAGAAAATTATGCAAATGCTAAAAAATAACTGATGGAAAACGACTACAGGAATAATTCAGCCTTGGCATGCCGGAATTTAATTACACTGTCCGGAGAGTGAGAAAAGTCAATCAGAAATGTTTTTTAAATTCTAAGAATGGTTTTTAAATTTTTAAAAATTCATTTTATATAAAATACAAATTATATTATTGCCCTTATATAATTGTTTATTGTTTTGGCTGTGTAATCCTTATTTATATTCATTCTTATAATTTAATCTTCTTTCTTGAATCTATTCAAAATGATTTTAATTTGCAATGTAATCGTATTCTATCAGTTTCGTTTCCTTGATATCAGTTGCATTCGCTAAAATTATTTTCAAGTAAACTGTCAAGTGTTTTTACCCCTTCATAGATAGAGTATTCCAGCTCAACTCACAGAGATCTCGGTTAATGTTAAGAAACGTCTGGGAGCTGGTGAAAACAAAAAAAGGGTTAACGTAAAATGGTCTCAGTTTTGGTCTCATTATTTGAACATTTCATTTATCTTCTTGAACTGATGTAAACGTAATGAAAATTGGATTATGTTGTAATCATTAGGGCGAGTCGTTGACCGACCCAAACCAAAAACGGGGAAAACAAAAAAAAAAGAGATTGAAATTATTTTAGTTGCTGTTTTTCTGATTATTTTTTTTAGTCTGCAAATTGTTGAATTTTCTTAACGGAGTCGCAACATATTTACTTGATTTATGTGCAAGCCACAACAAACCAACAATGTGCCAATAAATCACGCCCATTGGGTGGGCAACGAGGACGATGCGGGGGGGTCCGCTTGCCTGACCGAAAGGTCTTACGACAGCTCAGCCGCGCGCAAATCTAATTGTAAAGTTTTGTAAACTGGGCCAAAAGA